CTTTTGAATCTATTTTCTTTTTGTCGCGTTGTAAGTTCTTGCACTTTTTGGAATTTCAATGGCTTTACCCCGAGCTTATTTTTCAATATTTGCCGAATGGAATATTGCGCTGCGACGCGGGTTTCGATCAAGTAGCTTCTTTACTTTTCGAACCATTTCTGCTGATTTTACTATTTTCTTCCGTCCACTTCCTTGACGTTCGGCTACGCTACCAGTATCACGGTAACGAGTGGTGGTACGAGACACAAAAGATTTATTCGCATTTAAATTCTGGAGTGTTCCAACGATAGCCACTGGTGGTTTTCCAGCCAAATATAAAGAAATCACACTACCACGGTTGAATTCCATCACGAACAACTTTTTTTCTGGAAAATTCTCACCAAAATGCTATTTTGCGCTTGTAAACCATGTAATGAGCTATCACTGGAATTATTTTAACAGCTGTCAGACGAGTGGCTTAAAAGAAAGTGTTAGTCCATAATATACAAAATATATGTGTCAAAAGTGAGAATATAAAAAAATGTTTTTTTTTCAATCCTATACTTTTTTCCAATTCTTTAAAGAATAAATCTAATTTGTCCTATTTATAAGCTTTTTATAATATAAAAATATGTTCCTTCTATTACCAATATCTTATTTCCATTAATACACAAATAACGCTAGTTTCCCCCCCTTTCACTAAAAAAATTCTTTCATGAATATTTTTAACATAAACTTCCAAAAAATGTTCGATATTGCAAAAATGTTACAAACATTTTTGTAATAATTTTACAATTTTTATTTTCTTTCACTCCCCCCTCCATCCACCCCGCAAAAGTTAATGTCTTTCATTCTTTTGGAAATTTCTTCAAAAGTAATAGGAAAAATATCTATTAACTTGGTGGAAAGGAAAAACAAACAGCGCTAGCGTTTTATGCAGACCACGTACAATATCCATCCAAGTCAGAAATATTACATACATCCTGATTTTATTTGTACACCAATCGCCAAACAAAGCGCAGCGGTAAAAATGTAAATAAAATTCCTGGTTTCACTATTTCACTATGTGGCGGATGGTGGTGCTCTGCCCTCTGTTTGTCTTTGTGTGCTTTCAGCAGATCCTTTAGAATGGTCCTCCATGTATTTATTTATTTATTCAAATCAGGTAGACATTAATGAATTGAACTGACTGCATGGCTGAATGAATGGAAATAATCGAATTGAATAAAAATAAAATCACAACAGCAAATCGACAAATATAAAGAAAATTGCAAAGAAATTATTTGCACACAACAGCAACAGCATTCTTCAGCCGAGCATTCCGCACTCAGCGTAAAGCGTAGTCAAGACTTTAGTAAACAACAGTAACTATGATTTCCATCTTTCAGACAAATAATAGTAATAATTAACGTGGAAAGGAAAACGCATAAATTATACTAAATGAGGAAAAATTGCATTAAATTTGCATAACATTCATTCAACACAATGCCCAGAGTTGTTCAACAACAACAACATCACTCCTTAATTGACATTTGTGTGCGAGTTTTTATTGCAATCCACTAGACTGACTTCAACATGACAGCATTAATGTACATTGCATTAACATTTCGATAACATTTTACGTTAATGAATTGACCTGTTTCATACCTGGCTGAGGAAGTTAGGGTTCTGACAACAGATTATCTTTTACAAATATTATATCTGTGTATCCTCCATCGTTGGCAAGCTCGCCAACCAACCGGTCAGTCAATCATCGTTATTCGTACTTATGTACCAGACCACAAGTATACTTAAAGTACACCATCAACGTTAACATCACGGATGAGAGGGTCTCGAAAAAAATTCCTCAAGTTAAGCATTATAATTGGCTAATAAAAGAGCACGATTTATATTTTTTTGTCTTTGCGAACCATACCCTGTTAGTCAATCAAGTAAAGGTGGCACTGCCATTGGAACACTTGAAGTCTATAAGAAAAAAGTCGTACTCATTGTTATGCAATTAGCCATAGTTCTGACAGCAACAAAAAATCTCCTGTTAAAACAAATGACGACAGAAAACGCCAGCCGAACCCCAAGAACACAACCAATACTACAACAACTACTATTACTTCTGTGGGAACTGCAAAGTTACCAGCCAGCCTGCATTTGGAGTGATGTTTGTATCATTTAGTGACAGGTTAAATATGAATGTAAATGATTAACGTTGATTTTAACGAGGGAGGTTGTAAACAATTGTGATAAGAACCGGGTGGAGAAGAAGAGGAAATGAATTGCACCCTTTTCAGACAGAGTCAAGAAGTAAATAAGTTTCTTTAATCGCTCTACATATGATAAGAGTATATAATACTGTGTAATACAAACACAATTATAGGAATACATCAGTAGATTAGGAAAGTAGTGCTAAGAATAAAAAAACTTACAGTGTGAGATGGAAAAACTACAACCAAATTCAAAGTGTTGTCATTTCTAAGCCACTCGTTCGACAGCTGTTAAAATTATTCCAGTGACAGCTTATTATATTGTTTAAAAGCGTACGAATAGAATTTTCCAAAAAAAGTTATTCTTGATGGAATTCAAGCTTGATAGTGCGATTTCTTTATATTTGGCTGGAAAACCACAAGTGGCTATCGTTGGAGCACTCCAACATTTAAATGCGAATAAATCTTTTGTGTCTCGTACCATCACTCGTTACCGTGATACTGGTAGCGTAGATCGATATCAAGGAAGTTGACGGAAGAAAACAGCAACATCAGCAGAAATGGTTCGAAAAGTAAAGAAGCTACTTGATCGAAACCGGCGTCGTAGTTGCGGAAAAATGGCTTGTGAGGTGAACATATCGCAATATTCCATTCGGCAAATATTGAAAAATGAGCTCGGGGTAAAGTCATTGAATACACCGCCACAGAAAGAAAATAGACTCAAAAGAGCTAAAGAGATGCTTCGCTTGGCCGAAAGTGGTGAACTGCCGAATTTGGTTTTCTCCGATAAGAAAACATTCCTTGTCCAGCGGTTTGTAAACAAACAAAATTATCGTGGTTACTTGCCAAAGAGGTCAGCTGAAGATGTGCACCTTCGGTTGGCCACCAGAACTCAAGCACCGGCCATGGTGATGGCGTGGACCGCCATAACAGTCGATGGTCGCTCTCCGCTCGTATTAATCGACCTTGGCATCAAAATAAATGTGGAATATTGTCGCGAAAATATTCTGGAGGGTATACGTAAACGTTTTGGCCACAGACCTTGGACATTCCAACAGAACTCAACACCATCGCACTCAGCACGCGCCACCCAAGGATGGTTACAAAATGAGGTTCCTCAATTCATTTCCAGCGTACAATGGCCACCAAAATCCCCGGATACCAATCCGTTGGGCTATTGTGTCTGGAGTATTTTGGAAAGCAAAGTGGGCACTAAAAAATACCAAAGTGTCGATCATATTAAGCAAGCGCTCCGCTGGGAATGGGCAAAAATACGGCAGAGCAACATTCGGGCAGCGTGTGAAGGTTTCATTGGCCGTTTGAAGGCCATAATTCGTGACAAAAGTGACCAATTCCAACATATCTAAATTTATTCTAAATTTGACGCTATTGCCGGCATTTTTTGATTTCATTCAATAAAATTTAAACAAAAAATTGAAAAATTATGGCGTTTGACTTTTTTTGCCGTTTTCTTTTTCTCAACCCGTATATCGGTGTTTTTAAAATTACATGGAAGAATAACCTAGATAGAAGGTGCAAGTTTCCCCTCTTCGAATTTTTTGTTTTAATTTTCAGATTTAGATTCCTTGCAATCCTAAAAATAGTATTATTTTGGTCTTAAATTTTAACCCTCAAGAGAGTCACAAAAAGGGGGCGTTTTGGTACTTTAAAAAAAAATAATAATAATAAATTAATAACTCATTTTGAACGTGATTGCAACATTTCAGAATATTTCTCAAAATTGGTTGACATAATTTTACTAAAGGTACCAGATTACATCATAAGTTTTACCTAAGCCCTCGGAATAAAAAAACACTTCAGAATTAAATCCAAATTTCGTGCGTTTTTATACAAAATTCTCCTACAAGGCATCAATTTTGAAAGATGACAGCAAAGACAAAAATATTCTTCTTCTAATTTAGTCAGTGGAAAATTCCAGAACCTGAAAGTTTCATGCAATTTTAGGCTTTGTGGAGTGCCATTCCTTAAAAATGAACATTTGCCCACAATTTTACAAAATTTATGTACTTCGCTAAATGTCATGCCTCCTAATTTTAAATCAATTCAGCGCCTAAAACAAAATAAAAACAATCCTGCAACAACAAATGATGGTGTTATTCTCGTGAAGCTATTCTCTCCTCAGGAGAGAAATAACATACTAAAAGCTGCAAATGTGTTTAAAAGGGAAAACAAAACACCATTGCCCCTACGTCTTATTGGCTTTGACACTGATGTCCCCTTCTTCATAAATGAGGATCTCACAAACGCCAATTATAAAATTCTTAAAGAAGCAATAAGTATAAAGAAGAAAAAACAAATATCAGCTGCTTTCACTTTGCGCGGGCTCGTGTATGTGAAACGTTTTGATGCTGCCACTCCAATATGTGTTGAATCTGTGGATTACTTAAACAATCTCTTTCGCGCCTCTCATCAACCAACAAATTGTCACTCAGCTGCCAATCAGCTGTCATAATCGTTGCCGTCGTTCAACAGTGTTGCCAACAGTGATACAATTGCATTACCAACCACTTTTACATCACTGCTGTCAACTAGGCAGTTACATTTTGAATATGCCACATTCCACGGATTTCAGTTCTTCCAAGCAAAATTTAAAAAGAAATAACTCATTTTGTTTTAAATTTAAATTTAATAATTTTATGATATTATCAAATTTCAACCTATTATTAGAAAAAGAGTTATTCACATGTAAATCAAATATTTCAAACTCGATTGTAATTCCTATGATGCAGGTTAATGTTGCTTACACTACTGTTTTATATGTTCCCTGATCCTGAATATAATTCCAAAGACGGGCTTTATAACATGATAAGAATTCTTGGCAAACAAAAGAATGGTCTTAAATTGGTGCACATTAATGCCCAAAGTCTAAATAATAAATTAGATGAATTTGAACAACTATTCGTTTCTTCGAATGTTGATTTGATCTGTGTGTCTGAAACATGGTTTCATTCTGATGTGCAAGATGGCATTTATAATATCCCAGGCTACACATTGTTTCGTGCTGATCGTAAAACATTTGCTGGCGGGTCATGTATATATGTGAGAAGTGGTATTAAATGTAAAGTTAAGCTGAAGTCCGACAACTGCAATTCTAATGAATACATTTTCTTGGAGTTAATTTTAAGAAGGAATCAAAAATGTCTAGTTGGTTGTGTTTATAGACCAAATAAACAATCTAACGTTACTGAATTGATTTCTGAATTGCAAAATATTTCAATGTCATATGAAGATGTAATAATTTGTGGGGATTTCAACAGCAATATTTTAGTGGAAAAATCGTTAACTGATGAATTCGAAGCACTCGATTTATACCCCATAAACTCTACGTGCCCTACTCATTACCATTCAACCTCAAGCAGTCTAATCGACATTATTTTTTTGAATCAGTTATCAAAACTCCTACTTTACGATCAACTTTCAGCCCCAATGTTTTCGAAGCACGATCTACTTTACATGATCTATGATGTCAACGTTAGCTGTACAGAAGAATGCATTACATATCGCGACTTCAAAAGGATTAACTACAATATGTTAGATTACCACTTACTCAGCATAAATTGGAATGAAGTATACACCTTGGCTGACGTAAACGACCAAGTTTTATTTCTTCAAGACAAATGTAATGTCATTTTGAACGACTGTGTACCACTAAAAACAATCACACCGAAAAATAATACGAAACCCTGGTTTAATAGTCAAATTAAACGGTTAATAAACGAAAGAGATGCCAGCTATAAACGATGGAAAAAATTCAAAACGCCTGATTTCTACGAACATTTCAAATCATTAAGACGAGAAACTACTAGCAAAATACAAAAGGCTAAAGCTACACACTACAAAAATCAATTCTCCACTGCTGTAAACAGCAAATCTAAGTGGAAGAGAATACGCGAGATTGGCATAGGGCAGGCACCAAGATCCTCCTCGCATGAAGACATCGATATTGACGCCTTGAACATGAAATTTACTGGAAATAACTCTGTCAACATATCTGAAAATGTCTACTCCAATCTGAATATAGTACGAAATGACAATGAGTTTTCTTTCAGATGTGTTGAGCAAGATGATATCTACTCCGCGTTTAGGGAAATATCGTCGAATGCTGAAGGTATGGATGGTATCAACCCCAAGCTTCTCAGACTAATTTTGCCAAAAATTCTTCCCTACGTGACATATATATTGAACACCATTCTCGTTAAGTCTGTGTTCCCGGTGGCATGGAAACAAGCAAAAATTGTGCCGATTCCAAAGTCTAACAATGATTTTCGTCCTATAGCACTACTACCATTAATATCTAAGGTCATGGAAAGTTTGATGTACAAGCAAATAAATAATTATCTCTTTCTAAACAATTTGCTAACTCAGCATCAATCGGGGTTTAGAAAAAACAGAAGCTGCATAACCGCTCTTATAAATGTTGTTGAAGATCTCAGATGTAATATGGATAACAAATTACATTCATTTCTTATTCTTTTGGACCACAGCAAAGCATTTGACACAGTAAATCATTCGATTCTTCTACTAAAACTTGAAAAACTTTTTAACTTTTCTGCGCCTGCCTGCCGCCTTATCAAATCCTATTTAACAAACCGAACACAAACCGTTTTTTATAACAATAAATTTTCGACGCAATTATCAGTGAACAGTGGCGTTCCCCAAGGATCAGTCTTGGGCCCTCTCCTATTTTGCATCTACATAAATGATCTGCCTGATATATTACGACATTGTAAATTACATATATATGCTGATGATGTTCAATTATATTTGGGATCGAATACAAGTGAACTACCTACAACCTTGGACAAAATTAATGACGATTTAGATAGAATAGCTATATGGGCTGGAAATAACAAATTAACAATAAACCCTTCAAAGTCAAAATGCATTGCGATTCTGCGAGGAAACCAACAAATTGATGTCGACTCCTTAAAAATAAGTGGAACCACAATCGAGTATGTAAGCTCCGCTTCTAATCTTGGTATTATTTTTAATGACAAGCTTTCTTGGTCAAATCACGTAAATAAGGCAACTGGAAAAGTACATGGAATGTTACGTAATTTGTGGACCGTCCAATCCGCTACTCCCATTGAAATACGCATGTTACTAGCAAAATCTTACCTCGTTCCAACACTGCTGTACGGCTCTGAAGTTTTTTACAGCTGTGACTATGCCGATCAACGCAAATTGAATGTTGCATTCAACAACATTGCAAGATATATATTCAACAAAAAACGCAATGATCGAATTTCAGATTTGGCGTATAAGATTTTTAACATGACCTTTGAAAATTATCTCAAGTACAGAAGTCTTTTATTGTTACATAAAGTTATTACAAACAACGAACCATCTTATCTAATAAAACGAATAAAATTCGCTCAGTCAGGTCGAGGCAGAAGAATCATACAGCTGAAATTTAAGAGCTCAAAATCAGAAAAACAATACTTAATACCAACAATACGTCTTTGGAATTGTCTTCCATCAAATATTCAGACTATAAGCAACCACCTGCATTTTAAAAATGATCTAAAAATGTTTCTTACTTCAAATGATTTATAATACTGAATCTTTGTTATAATGTAATGTTACCTCATTCCTATCTACTGCTATATACCACTAGCACTAATTCATAAGAATTTCATTCTAATTGTGCTAGGCTTAAACCAAATAAATAAATAAATAAATAAATAAAAACCCAAATGGGCTCTTGGACAATAAAGTTATAAGAAAATTGCCACAAAGTGCTAAATTTGTTGAAAACAAGAAAAAGTTTTTATAAATCAAAATTAATTATAGTTTCCGGGCTACACATTTTCTTCAAATGACGTCAAAGAAAAAAAATATTTCCAATCTAATTTCGATATTAGCCAGCAAAGAAATTAAATTTATATTTTCATTATACAGCCAGAAAAAAAAACGAAAATATTTCCTAAATTTTTGATAATATTTTTCCTCAGCCCTTTATCGAGTTCATCCATGAAAGTAACAAAAAACCGCATTAGGCAAGAAATATCAAAAAATAAATATTCTTCACAACATTTCCATGGACCTGGGTCCATTTCGAAGAATTCCAATCTCATGTTTTCTACTCTATAAGAACACAGAAAGGAGAGGTCCAACTCTCCAAGAATTTGTCATCTCTAAAAGATTAAGAACTCGAGATGTTCTTATGAAAATGAATTCTCATCATTGTAAACCAGACTATTTTTTTCATAGAAAATCAAGCCTAGGGCGTTATTTTCATTAAATTAGGACATATTTTGCTTGAATTTTATTAATAGCTCTTTTCACATAATTACCTGATCATTTTTCATAGTTCCCTCGTGAATTAATTCCCCTCCTGTATAGATACACATACAACTGCAACTGTGAAACCACTCCTGTGTCTATTCAGCTCCAGCCACAACGGAATGGAAATTATGTTGCTGTCACAGTTTCATTAGGTACGTTATCTGGTATAATATCGACGTGTTTTAGACACAGAAAACAAATGTTAATTCATAGCAGTTGCTGCCGTTCATGTTAAGAAGTCATAGTCGCAATGGTGAAACCACACACACACCCATACACCTGCCAGGCATGAGAGTACAAACCTACGTTTTGTGTGTGGTGGGGGAACCCATTGAATTCCGTCGTCGATTTGTTGCAAAACTGTTTGATTAAAATTGTTACGACGTTGCCTGGAACTTAAAGGTGCTTTGAATTCCAATTAATTTCTATAGCTTCTTGACACTCATTAAAACTGACTTTATTTGCAGATCGTTGTTGGAGATACATGCATCTACATATGTTTACATGCTTACAATTTGTACTGGCATATGCATGCGATGCAGCTCGTTAGTAACATTGATATCGTTGAGTAATCAATTGAATTTTCCTGCGAATTAGTGCATAAAATTCTGTTCTATGTGAAGGCTATACCCCTTTTGCACATTTGACACCTTAATATCTCTCTGATTATTGTGTGTAGGTACGTTCGTATGTATAAATGTTTATTTGTATAGATGAGTAGGTGTGTAAATCTGGCTTTGTAATAGGGTCAAATACAATTTGTATTGAAATTTAATTAATTACTATGCAGATTTTAAGAAATTACAAACTGCAATTCACATTGTGGGAAAGGGGGAGATTTTATCCTCTATTTCATTACCATAGGAGCCTGGGGACGATATTCAGATAGAACGAATTTCATATAATTATTTTACACAAAATTGAAGTGAGAAAAAAAGAAAAACAAAAAAATAAACCAGTAAAGAAAGTCCTAAAGTCGGGGGGGCCGACTTTATGATACCCTACACCACTTTGCACTTTTTATGGAAGAATTCAATCATACACGCTATGATTATAATTATAATTTAAAGTTCAAAGGATTAAATATGCCGAACAAATATTTGTTTGGCGTTCTCACGCTTCTATTCGGAGACAAGAAAATTTCACAAACTCTTTTGATGTGAGATCATTGGGCTTTCTTGTGGAAGACCCCCTGATCTTCTTAGCAAAGATGACAAAAGGTCTTCTTCGCATTGAAAACCATAAGGGTTAGCTCTTCCCACAGAAAACCAGAATGTCTTTCTCTTCCCATTAAAGACCAGAGGGGTTCTTCTTCCCACAGAATATCAGAAGGTCTTCTTATACAAGACCGGAATGTCTTCGTCATCCTATAGAAGGCGAGAAGTTCTTCTTTTTCTCATAGAATACCAGAAAGTCTTCTTCCCATAAAAGACCAAAAGTTCTTCTTCTTCCTATAGAAGACCAAAGGTTCTCTTCCCACCGAAGACCAGAAGGTCTTTTTCTTCCCACAGAAGACGGGAATGTCTTCGTCATCTTTTAGATGGCGAGAAGTTCTTCTTTTTCCCATATAAGACCAAAAGTCCTTCTTCTTCCTATAGAAGACCAGAAGTTCTTCTTCTTCCCTTTGGATCTTCTTCTTCTCATAAAAATCCAGAAGTTATTCTTCTGGTAAAAGACAAGTTGATCTCCTTCTCACAGGAAACCAATGGGTCTTTTTCTCATAGAAGACCAGTAGGTATTCTTGTCAATTGGTATTCTTGTCATAGAAAACCAGTTGGTCTTCTTAACGTAGAAGATCAGTAAGTCTTCTTCACATGGAAGACCAGAAGTTCTCGTTATAAAAGATCAGAAGGTCAACTTTTTGTTTAATTGGAATTGTTATATTTATTTATATTTTAATTTGATATTTAAAACATCAAATTTCAATTTGTAGTATTTTGCAAATTACTTGTCCTGCAGCCATAAATTCTCAAATCGGCGAGAAAAGAAAAAAATATAAAAGCGTATTAATGCGATTTTCTTTCAGCAATAAGTCGACAACAAAAGATTATGTTTTATTGGCTTCGGCTTGAAGTGGTTTTGAATATCACCACAGGAGAACACGTGTATTTTACATGAGTTTCGGTGGGTAAATGGAATTCTGTGTTGTTGGAAGTTAAAAAAAAAACTAACAATAAAATATTGGTCATTGGTTACTTTTTTACGAAAGACAAGACAATCAATGTGTTTCCAGACACTTCAGAGTTACACTCTTTGCCAGTGAGACCATTAATTAATTATATTGCCGAAAGCCACATAAAATCATCATGAATATGGCTATTTATATATAGACGAAGTCTTGTCTGATGTAAACTTGACTCTTGTCTCAATGTAAGGTCATTGAAATTTTAAATGAGTTTTTAACTATTTGCTTTGTATTTTTCCTACTAGGGGGTTTTTATGTTATTCCAACTTCCAACATTTGTGGAAGCTCTGGAAACGATTAGGCCTTGTTTAAAATTACTAAAAATCACCATAATATTGTTTGTGCCAAGACATATCATTTGAATAATTGAGATTGGTTACAAGTTCAAATTTGAATTATAGTTTCGTTGACAAAAAAAATACGTTCAAACTTGTTCAACCTGTTACCTTCGGAGCGTAGACTTTGTGACGCTCCAAACAATAACATACGGCGACAAATCAAAATTCCATCAACATTTAATTTATATCGAGAAGCTAACAATTTTTACAAATTATTTCAATTTCATCGTAAATCAATATAGTTGAAAGCCTCTTTAGTTTAGCATTTGAAAAGATTTTCGTTAAATTTTAGAGTTTAAATTCTCTATTGTTATGGAAAAATCAATTAAGTTTTTTTTGTTATTAATGGATTCGATTGTTGTCAGATAAAACAAACGAAAAAAAACGAACGACGAATTGGAAATAAAATAGCCAAAAAAAGACACTGACATAATGCATATTGATA